AGCCCCCGTCCCCCGCCGGGGATGTTGTTCCTCCATCCCTTCGCGCAGGGGGAGGGGAGCGCCGGCCGTGTTTACAGCTCCGGGAAGACTGAGCGCTCCCGGGTGACGGCGGCGGCGGGGGGGGTCTGAGCACGGGTGGGGTGGCGGGCAGCCCAGCCCTGGGGGCTCCTGTCAAAAGCCTGGAGCCCCGACCCCGCCGGACTCCTGTGGCGAGGGATGCAGGCAGCGTTTGGGGTGATTTCCAGCGTTGCTGGGCCTGCTCCAGCCTGCGCTGGGCAGGTAGATGTGCCGAGTGCCCCACCAGAGCATCTCGAAGGTGACCGGGTCTGGGAGCGGGGTGTGATGCTGAAAAGAAGGTCCCCAGTTGGGAGCCCAGAGGTGCCTTTGTCCCCCGTCCTTTCTGGGACTGCCAGAGGAGGGATGCCCATGCATGGCCCACACCCTGATTTGGGGAGGGGGGCGGTGCCTGGATGCTGGTGGGGAGCTCGAGGTCCCAACAGTGTGACAGAGGTGTGTGGTGACAGTACCTTGCCGGCCCACACAGTACTGTGCCCTGCCCCGCTGCCTCTGGCCGCCTCTCCACGTTGGAGGGGGGGTGTATGCACATCTTGTTTTCATCCTCGGCATCTCTTAAGGTGCCACAAGCTGCTGGGCAAGGACTGCCCTTAAGCCGCACTTCTAGTGGCTTTGCCCCCTTCGAAGAGCAGCTTTGGGCTGTGCAGGACCCTCACCACCTCCCACCATGGCCGCTGGGGTCCTGGGCAGCACGGTGTTGCGTCCCTTGTGCGGGACCACGTTCCTGTGTGCAGCACAACTGGGCATCCACATCCCGGCGGGACCCTCTCCAGGCCTGGTTCCACTCTCCTCCCCTCATCAGGGAGACCCCAAGACCCAGATCCTCTGCAGCCGGGGAGAGATGTCCTGCAACGGGCTGTGGCAGGCGTGCAGAGCCTACTGTGTGCTCCCTCCTGCTCCCGTGGAGCCGTGACCCCTCCACTGGCCGAGTTCCTGCTATTGATCCCTGGCTTGGAGTGCGTGGCAGCACCTTGGAGCAGAGGGAGGCATTTAATAATGTCAGGCGTGGATACGGCTCTTTAATAATGGATGCTCCCATGTCTCGGCCAGGCCACAGCCTCTCCTTGCCTCGCTGTTTCTGTTTGCCTGGGCCCTGCGGGAGCCACAAAATGCTCCTTCTCCCACCCATTGTTCATGTTCTTGTGGGGCCACTTCCATGTAGGATTTGGGGGACCAGTGGAGATTGGGGGGGGGGGGGGGGGGGGGGGGTA